AAAATGCTATCCAAATAAAACAAAATTCAGTAGATGTGATGTATATGTTAAGAAAATGAAATGATTAGAATTTCAAAATAATTTAATGCATCATTTAAAAAATAAAACAATATATAACAAATACATATGGCACTGGTAATAATAAGGCTCTTGCCCTTATGCTAGCTGTAAGCTTGGCATTGATTTATAGAGTTGGAGAATGGCTTCCTGCATTATTTTTCACCAAACTCTCTGTAGTCACTGAGTTAAACCAGGGACATTCCAAAATGATCAGAGGCAGACTGTTGATATCTTAGTGATCTAGCTGGCCGAACATGAAAGCAGTCAGAAAAATTTATTGCAGTATATGACTAGGCTGTTGAAAGTAAGCTGAGTGCTTTGAAAAGAAGGGGAACACAACAGGATGTAGAATATCATTGATTTACCATTGTGCTATAATGGTGGCATAGATGGTAACCAAAGAGGTCTGATTATTACATGAAATGGCATCCCCAGATCATGACTCTTTATTGTTGGGCTATGTGAAGGACAACAGTCATATCATTATTGCATTGCTGTCCCATACATATCTAGGCATGTGTTGCTAGTTATCATGGCTCATTTCAAAGCAAAACTCAATGCTGAAGACAATGCTACTCCAGATTCTTTCGACCGATTGTCAAAATTTAGCTTGCGTTTTACGTGTATTGAAAGCGTGACTTAGAATATATATTAGATTTATCTATAGCAGTGTTTCTCAACTGGGTTTACGCCAAGGACCGGTAAAATATTTTGGTACGTTCTCATGGACCGGTAAGTTTAATAATTCAATGGAACAATTTTTTTGACATAAATAAATCATGAAAACAAAATTAATTTTATTTGTTATAATTTACATATGTACATTCAACTTACTTAAAATATTGCGTTGAGAATAAAACTACCAAAACTTCTCCAAGAAAATTCCATTTTCATGGATATTTATTTATAAAAATGTCCACGGACCGGCGGTTGAGAAACACTGATCTATAGCATTGTTCTAATACAGTTAAAAGTCGTTAATTCGAACACCCATAATCCAGACCTCAAAGCTACAAACTTTCTGCGCATGTGTCGCGTTCACGCATGCGCACAGGCGTTTACGAGAGTGCTTAAGATTTTTACGGCTGCGAATATGTGCGCATGTGCGTTTAATGTGTAACGGAGTTATACGCTAAGCTAAAAATATCTAATTCAGTTAATGTTGCAGATTGCGTTGTTCCTTAATCTTCAAATTGGATCCAGCTTATTATTTTTTGCAGACTGTTAAAGCACTTTCATAAAAGTAAGCTTGAACTTTCGATTATGTCAAATAGAATTTCCGATATATATTTACTAATATGTAATTTGTATCTACAAAGCGAAAATATGTTTTGAAATCCGAAATCTGTTTATCAATTTCACGTGGCGGATTGGAAGTTGATCTGTCAGCACTATCCGTATCTTCAGGGCAGATGTTTTTATTTTATTTGGCTTATAATTCCTTACTAAGTGTAGTATTTAATCTCGATGTACTCCGTCTTTGATATGATTTAAATCAAGTTCCTCGTCATTATAATTCACTTCCGATAGTGAAGAAAGTGACCCAGAGGTTATTGAAAACGAAAACATTTCGATTGACAAATTAGTTGGTATTCTCAACACAGCAATTATAGGACTTGAACAGCGGAACTTTGTAACTAAATAAGAAATTATGTCTGTTTAATAGAATTAAAGAGAAAGTATTATCACATGAAACGAAGCAACTTACATTGAAGGAAATGTTTAATAAAGTAAACAAATAAATATTAAGCTTTATCTTTTTGTAAATTTTGATACCCTTATTTCAAATAAAGATCAAATCTTATTTCAAATAAAGATGATAGGCATTTCGAATAAAGATCATAATTGTTCTTTATTTCATAAATTACAATTTCATATTTTTAATTTTGTAATTTCTGCATGCCATCTTACCAGATTTAAACTGATGATCTATAATCCGGATAATCCGGAATCGCCGAAGTCCCGACGAGTCCGAATTAACGACTTTTGACTGTATAAGTATTTTGATTTAAAATCGGACTTTTTCTGAAATAACATACCAAACAAATGAAGTATTTTTGGCGCAACTGAAAAAATGCGCCAAGATAAATTTTTAAAATTTCTTACCAAAAATTACAAAATTTAATGTCTAGGCATAATTTGAGTTGTAGAATCGAAAAGTGGAAAAGAAATTTGGTATGTTATTTCAGAAAAAATCTGATTTTTGTGTCAAAATACTTATGTTAGAGCAATGCTATATATAAATCTAATATGTATACTAAGTCGTGTTTTCGAACCATGGGAAATGCAAATTAAATTTCGACAATTGGTCCAGTAGAACAAGAGATATAGAAATGTCCCCCCCTTTTTATTTGTGCAAGGTGTACAGCTGAAGTGAGTAAATGAAAGTTATAGAATACTCTAGAATTGGACTTTATCCTTTTTTGTGCAACATATGTAGCTGAAGCATAGAACACCACATGTTCAGTTGTGATGCTGTGCAGTTTCAGCTGTTTATTCATCAACCACCAAAACTTGATCATTTCCATGATGGATTGAAATGCATTCAGACATGAAATTTTGTGACCGTCAGATGACTCCTTTTAGGTGCATCTGCCTTAGTTTTGGTCTTAAAATGTATATTGTATTCTTTACTGGATGATGAGGGATATCTTTACATTAATTTCATACCTCCTATGTCATATACCATTTATGTTAAGTAGAGTTTAGTAGATCAAAGAGTGACATGCTTCTTTAAACATACACTGTTTGTAATATTCATCCTTTGTTTAGTATCAGTTTCAAACAGAATGATTTTTTGCTCAGAAGGAAATACCTTTTTATCTCTGTAAATATACCAAATATTTTCTTTACAAACCAATGCAAAAGGAAGTTGAGTTTTGTGAATTACTAATTCTGGCATTAGTACTTCATTCATATTGTCTAAAATGATATATTGTTGTTGCATGCAATTATAACATTAAATGCTTTTATAATAAGAAGTATTATAATTTTCATGCATACCTTTTTCTTACTTGCTTTAGTTAGATTAAGAATAAAACAGGTTTTAACCTCTGTATTCTTCAAGTCTATATTAATATAGGTCAGAGTTTCTTAAATTGTGGGGTCGCAAATTGAAAGTTTGGGGTTGTGAAAATTCAACTCGATAGATGAATTTAAAGAAAATACATTCATAAGACTTTTAAAGAAATTGCATTAATTGACATTAATGAGATTACATTTTAAAGACATTACATTTATTGATATAAATGACATTAGTTATTTGTTATATAATTTGCAAAAGGAATTTAAGCTATCTAGTGATTCAAACTTAAAACTGGAGTTTTCACAAAAGTCCGTGATGAATTCTGGATCGGAGCTAGAACTAGATTTCTCACTATTTCTGGGCCCACCAGTAGCTGATTCTATTAGTAAACTTGGCTGAAGGAAGAACATGAGAAACATCTGATCTCATGTGATAGATAACTCTAACAGAGCATGTGTTTTACCAAAGCAGTAATGTTATACATAAGGTTTTAAATTTTAAGAATATTTGACTGTGCACAGAAAACCAACAAAATTGGAAAATCTTTAGTTCAGAAATCATGGCGATACATTTAAGAGTAAAAGCGAAGGAATAAGATTCAAATGAATGAGTTCTACAGTCGCATTTTGCACAGGTTTCCTTTTGAATCAGAGGGTCTAGGTTCGAATCCCATCGAACGGCCTGGCTGTATAGGCATTTTAATTATTTTCCCTATGTGTAATTTGTATACAAGTCAGTTCCCCGTAGAAAGTCCTCCATGAAGGCATCCCTCTAGGCTTTGCTGCAATCACATAAACCAAAACCACCTTGCTATTTCTGAAATGGCATAAAATGTTCTCTCATTCAGCACTATATATTTATATAAAACTACTTTTTCAGCTTTAACACTAATTAAAACTAAATGTTGTTTCTACATCGAAACATGTTGAAGATGTTCATCAGTGTAAAATGTCGCACCAACATTTAATTTGTTATGTAGCAGAAAACAAGCACATCTGTCTCATTGGAATTTTCTTTCATTAATTTTTGTTTGTTTAAAATAAATCCTAAAACTAATACTTTTTTATGTATATTGTTTACCAAGGTTAATTATTCATGGAAGGATGTTTATTTTTATATCCTTATTTTATATTTAATGTCTGGGGTCATGGAAAAAAATCTCAGTGGTAAAAAGGAGTTGTGAAAAAAAATGTTAAAAGGAGTCACGATCGAAAAGTTTAAGAAGCACTGATATAGATCATAAGATTGTATAATAAGCATTTGTGGTCTCATTGGCCAAAAGATAAGCGTCCTTATACAAGTAGATACAATGATAAAACAACATCATATATTTTTTATTGATTATACTATAAAAATTCATATAAAATGCAAGTTAATTCACAGATCATGAGATGTTTAGGCTTTCATGAAGGATCAAGAATAGTTTAAATGTATGATGAATATACTATTGCATAAATATTATGATGCTGAGATTAGTTACTCAGTTTAACAGATAATTAATTATTAATTTTTGCATTTAATAGTCAAGTAATTCTAGTTTGTTTGTTTGTTTTTTTAATAAGATAGCTTCATCTTACAAAACATCCACTACATTACTTTCTCATTTTTGGTGGCATTTCTCATTTGGTGGCAATCATGTTACCTTGTCTTGTGACTTCATAGTTCACTAGCTTTGGCACATTATAAATGCTTTAAAATTGACCAGTGTAAGAAAAAGAAATCTTATTAGATTTGCAAGTAAAATTGTAAGAAATTATTAATTTAATAAAAAATGCCCATAATGTGTGCATTATGTACCTCAGCTATAATGTATTTTATAGCTATAGAATTGTGTAATATTTAAATTAGTAATATATTTTTAAAGTGCATAAAAAATATAAATTTTGTATTCATGCTTTAATTAATTTTCTGACAGGGACATTACGTCCAAAGCCTTGGAGAGACTGGTGAAAAAGAAACAGAAAATCAAGTTCTGCTTTTAGAACATGATATTCCTCATCTGCCATTTTCAAAAGCTGTTCTTGATTGCCTGCCAGAATTACCTTGGATTATCACTGAAAAAGTAATTGATTAAAAATTTGTTGATTTTTTTATTTCTTCCTTCCTTTTGCTCCTCCTGTGCCCTTTAACCAAACGTTTATTTGTACTACTCACTACAATAGAATAAGGACTTTTTATAACAGTTTGAAACACATAATCTTCCAACCAAACATGTGCACTTTAAAGCTCAAATTTTGATGTTTTATTAATTTTATTTATTTCATATATTGCAAGAATTTAATGAGTTTTATTCATTTATTAAAACTCAATGATTTAAAAGTAATGCAATGCCTTGCCACTTGGCAAAATGTAAGGTAATTAAGTTTCAAACTTAATCAGAAAACTAGACAGTTTCAAAGAAATGTGTTGCCACAGTTTTAAATAAAATATTTTTATCTTTCATACCACAGTGTGTTGCTATTCAACAAAGAATAAGATATTTTTTTATTTAATATCTCTGCTACTGTTTAATAAAGTAGGCAATTTAAAAGCAATATATAGTTTTCTCCATCTTTATTATTAATAATTACATGTCGTGTCTACAAAATTACATAGGCTCATTGAAATCAATACATTTTTTACATGAATACATTACAATCATTACATGATTATCTTTTTTAAGCAGCTATCCAAAGCAAAATAGACAGAAAAATTCAAAAAATGAAACAAAAATTTGATAAATTGAAGTATAACAAAGTAGAATAAATGAAAAAGTTCAAAAAATAATGTAGGATATCTGTGTTTCTGAATGACATAATAAGCAGTTTAATGTTGCTAAAAATTAAATTCAGACCAACAAATACGTACAGTTATGTATATAAAATTGTTAACTGCTTATCAATGTAGTCCAGTCCCTACATGGCTAAGAAGCTGGGGCATAGGGCAAATCTAACCAAAATTGTTTAGACTCTTCATTTATTAGATATTTTTAGCATTTCATTACTGTTAATGGATAGCATTGCAAACCTATGAAAGTGGGTTAAAAATCTTAATAAAAACAGCTTATTTAATTATTTAGTTTCATGATTTGTATGTTAGTGAATTAAAGTTTGATGTCAGTTTCATGATGATTGAATTCATAATTTGATTCAAGGCTATGGCAATTATCTGTTTTTCAGTAGGCGCTGAATATCTTTCTAGTGTAGTGTAATAATGATTTTTATTTGGAATTTTGGCAATTTGAAACAACCTACAATTAGTAATTTTTGCATTTAACAAGAAAAGCCTTAAAATTCCAAAATATATTTTAAAAAAGACCTTTTATAAAATCCATTCACGTAATTAACTAGGAAATTAGGCAATATCAATATTTTATCTGAAAAGTAATTTGAAAAATCTTATTTATGTCCATAAGATAACTTGATAAAAATAGCTGGACAATTATGTGTTATATTTTATCTTTAGAATGTGAGTTAATTATGTTGCTGAACTTTTTTGTGTGCAAATGTAGGATGTTGCTGCAAGAAAAGATTTACGTCATATTTCTATATGTAGTGTGGATCCGCCAGGTTGTACAGATATTGATGATGCTTTACATTGTCGAAAATTAGAAAATGGTCATTTAGAGGTAGGTATAATTTCCATTTGTTTATAATTATTCCATTATAACTAAATCCTCTGTTTAACTCTTCTAGTATTTTTATGTAGTCATGAGCTTTGATCTCATTTTGTTTGCATCCTCATTCTAATAAATATTTTACTTTTATTTTCATTCGTTACCTGAAATTCATTTTCAGACTTGCAGCTTATAAAAAAAATTAAACTGTAATTATATAAGTTAATAAATACTGTATAGCACAGTTAAAAAAAGTGCTGCTGTTCAGGAGTTTAAAGCAATAAAATTTCAGAATTTTTCTTGTCTCACATCTATTGAAATATCATGCACGATAAGTGCTGGGTTGTTCCTTAAAAATGAAAAAATTACATTTTTCTTCAACAAAAAGATGTATATAAAAATGTGGTAATATCAATTAGTAAAATAATAGATACCAACATTGCATGAACAATCTACATTGGAAATATGCAAGTCATTAGTTCAAAACTATGATCTTAACTTTTGTAAACCTTTCCACTTTATGTATTGTTTTTTAAAAACCATTTCTTTTTTCCTGGATAGGTTGGTGTACATATTGCTGATGTGTCTCATTTCATTAGACCTGGCACTGCTATTGATGCTGAAGCTGCAATGCGTGGAACTACAGTTTATTTAGTTGATAAAGTAAGTGTAAAACTACATTAAGTTTTCAATAGTAAATAAATCATTTTTAATGAATCACTGAAGCTAATGTAATATTTTTTCTTGTAAGTTTCATTTGAAAAGCAATGTATCTGTCTCCTAATAGCTTTTTCTTTGTAAGTAAATATATTATATGACACTATTGCAAGATTATATTAACATTTAATTATAAACTTTATATGTAACAAATTAACATGTATAGATGTAAAAATGTTCAGATGTAGGTATGGGAACAAATTTAAAAACATTACTTTTTCTCTTAAAATTTAATTATCCAAAAGAAATTTCTGTATTCTCTATGAAAAGGGAATAGTTGCATATTAGATAAAAATTAGTACCTTCTTATCTGTTATATCTCTTAAATAAAAATAGCTTGTTATATTCATTATTTTAGTGATTGAAATCTCTATTTCAGAGAATTGATATGGTTCCTGAGCTTTTGAGTTCAAATCTCTGTTCTCTTAGAGGAAATGAAGAAAGGTAATTAACAGTTTTAATACAAAATTATATACAGTAAAGTTATCCAGAAAGCTCAAATATGCAAAATTCTGGATAGTTGAACATATAAAACCTGGAATTCACTGTATAAAAGGAAAATGAGTGCAAGAAATGTCCTGTCTAAATTATAATACAATCATCTTATTCATCAACTTGAAAATTAAAATCTTACATTTAAAATTATGTAAGATTTGGGGGTAAAAAAATGAAAAGCCAATGTATTTTGTACCTTAAAATATGGGCGTAAACCATTTTATCTTATGAAATCCCACCAAACATGAAAATTGATGGAGTTATCATGATATTCCAATCATTCTGCTAAAGTTTACTGAAAGAGATCAATGAAAGGCAGGCTCCCAATTATCAATATTTTTTCAAAATGCAATGAAAAATATTATCTGATATCTTTCCTTTTAAAGTCTAAGCCTATTTATTGAGAATTAATTAGGTTTACATAAAAAAGACGAAATTCTTATGATTGTGTTGTAACATCAAGCATATTCACTTCTGGCCTTAAATAACACTGTTTAGCGGCAATGTACATAAGCTTTATAATGGTATTATAAATCTCTCATTTACTTAATATTTAGGGGGGAATTTTCCCTTAAATTTTACAATATTCCAGTTAGTTGAGCTTTCTGGTTAGTTGAATGCTGGGCAGTCGGGCTTGTACTGTAAATGTAAACACACAGTTTCATCATTATTTTTGTTTTATTGTTTGTTTTTATTATGCTTGTTTAGGACTATTAAATTCAATCTGTATTAAACGTACTATTGATTAAATTGAAAACTATTGAAAACTTACTATGATTGAGTAAAAATTACTATGGAAGAAAATTTTTTAATATAAAAGCAAAAATAGTTTATCAGAAGAAAGATATGATCAATTATCATTTTATTATTTCAATTCAGGTTTGCTTTTACTGTTATTTGGGAAATGACATCAGAAGCCAAAATACTTAGGACCTCATTTTTCAAATCTATAATTAAATCCAAAGTAAGTGAAATTTATTTAAAAATTATTGTGTTTATGTAATGTCATTGAATTTTATTTTTCATTGCTTATGAGAAATATCAGCAGCACTGATTTTTGGTTCTATGAAATATATAATTTTAGAAGTTTTTAAGCTAAATCTGTATTTAAAGAAAATAATTTTTTCATTAAACTTCCACAGTTTTATCTAAAAATAGGCAATTTTTAATTTATGTTGCACTTATATAGATGATTTTGTAGATTTTTGTTAATATGTCAGGAAAATCAGTAATTGTTATTAAAAGTTTGAATATGCTAATATTTATTCAGTTATATATAAAAATTTTTTAAGTTCCTTAATTTTAATTATTTTAAAAGTATTAGCATAATGATATAGTTTAATGTAGGAAGACAGTGAAGGGATAGTGTTCTCCTTATTATGTAATTGAAGATTGGTTGTATTTGGTGATTACTTTGATGATAATACCATAAAAATATCATATGAAAAAACTTTATTAATAAAAGATGATTGAAAGTCTCAGAGGGTTGTAAAATTCAGTAGGTTAATTATGCTTAAAAAAGTTATATTTCATGTTAAGACAGTTGTCCCTTTTATGAACCAGGTATTTAGTCTTTGTAAAAGCCACATGCTTTTACAAAGACTTTGCAACAGTCAACATGTGATATGCGTTTTGCTAAGATATCAGTCTTCTACTGCTAAAAGTCCAGTATAATTTTATTCATTCAACTGAAGTTTTGATACTTTCTGGAACCCTTATTAGTAGACTGAAGATGAAAAAAAACTGCAGTAAGTGTTCTATTATTTAGTATTTAAAATTATCCAGTGCCATCTTTATGACTTTACAAACATAAAAAAAAAAAAAAAAAAAAAAAAAATTATTCATTGGCACTTTTATGAAGGTTGCAAGAATGTTTTCCTCTTAATTGCATATTAGAGTTGCTCACATGCACCAAATTTTAAAAAATGGATATGTTTTTCCAAATTTCTTGGAAATCTGTGCTCAAATAGCAATGAAGTGGTGATAGTAATATGCGGTTATGCTCATTTGTGTAGGTTGTGCTGTAACAGCATTAGGTATAAAAGCAGCCATCTGTTGTTTTGCTCTTGCTTCATTTTTTATATTGACAGCGATCATAGCATTCACTGTAAAATGTTAAATTTTATGTGCAGTGAGGTGGAATAAGTAACTACCAACATTTAGATAACAGAACGAGGTGTAGAATCATTTATAGATTAGAAGAGAGCAATCTGAGGCTCAGGTTGCAAAAGAGCTTGTATTCCCTAGTGTCATTTGCAGTTTGTGGAAACAATTTCAGAAGAGCAGATATGTATTCAGATGGCTTGAATGAAAATGTCCAAGGGCTGCAATGCTGATTTTATAAGGGTGAGTCAAATGAAAGTGACACTGTAGTCGGTTTGAGAAATGGTTTAATGATATTAATATACAAAAGAAAGAAGTAATATAGATATAACAGATGGGCTTGTAGGTTGAAACAAATGTCCCACCAGTCAACGAGACAATGGATACCCTAGGTGAAGAAGCTTCAGGGTTGGTTCTGGAACCAATTTTTAATGGCAGCCTAGACCTCATTATCATCAGCAAATTGCCATCCCTTCAGAGATTTCTTGAGTGGACGGAAGGTGTGTTAGTCACATGGCGAGAGGTCCAGGCTGTAATGGGGATGTTCAAGAACCTCCCAGCAGAATTGCCATAACAATATTTGGCACGCCACAGCCACATAAGGATGAGCATTATCATGTAAGAGGATAACTCTGCGTGACAAGATGCTACATCATCAGTTCTTGATATTCTGTCACAGTTTCTGCATTGTAGCATGGTAGATGACAGCAATGTCAGTCATGCCCATAGGTAGCCATTCCAACCATAGTGGGCCATCGACATCAAAGAAACACATTAATGTGACTTTACCAGCTCTAGTGAACGTGCGAGCCTTCTTTGGGCGTGGGGATGAAGAGTATCACTATTCCATGCTCTTGCTTTTTATGGCTGGATCAATATGATTGCACCATGTTTTTATCAGCGGCAGTAATCTTTGAAAGGAATTAGTTCCTCATTTTGTGGTACTGCATAAGGTGTTGCATAGAAACAGACATGCGATGAATCTTCTGTTCCACTGTCAAATGTTTTGGCACCCATTGCGCACAAACCTTGCAATATCACAGCCTTTCACGCAATATTGTGTTCACACTTCCTATGCTCTTACACATTTCCTCCACTATTTCTTGAGTGCTAATTCACAAATTCATTTTCATGAGACAGTCCACATCTGCAACTGCCACAAAATTGAACAGCAATTTTAATAAATTTCTTCATATTAGGCCTAAAGTGTCACTTGGTGATTAGTTTTGTTGAGGCTGAAATGCTGGCATGGGAAAGACAGTGAATCTGCTGAACAATTTAAGAGCAAAAAGATTCAGGAATGAACAGAAAAGGTGTACCTTTTCCATATTGCAATAAAGAGTTACATTTTCTAAAGAAAAATAATATTTCTGTAATTTAAAATCTGGTGAAGACTGAGATAATTTTGGAGTTCTGTAGTTGCATTTCAGGTAAATTTTTTTAACCAGTTTGTTGATTATGAGAAACTGCATCTATTTCTACTCTAGATAAAGCATCAGCAGGATGTGGTCACGAACTTTGATGTATTGTGTATCAGTGGAAAATTGGCCAATAAAATCAGGATGGCAAAGTTGTCATGGAGAGTATTTTTGGGGCTTTTGCTTAAATGTGTGTATTAGGGGCTTTACATCTGTGTAGATTGTAAAGACCCTGCCCTTAAGCATGTGCCAAAATTTCTTGATTGACAAATATATAGCCATTTGTTCTCAGTCATAAGTTGACCACTTCCTTTGAGTTTTGCTGAGTTTAACAGATAGAAATGCAATGGGTTCCCAGATTGAATTATGCAGTTGGATTAATGAGTACCAACTACAACATCCTATGCATCAGTACAAAGTTTCAAAGTAGCATTAGGAGTTGGGTATCTGAGAAGGGTTATTTGGCAATTCTTTTTTTTGCATTGGTGAATGCTTTCTCAAATTCATTGCCCAATTCGAGAGGGTGCTCTTTTATTTTACTCAGCTGTGAAGGTTTCTTTATTAATGCAGCCTTCTGATAACTTATTTAAGGGAGCTAAAATATGTGAAGCTCTCGAGACAAATTTGTAAAAGTTAAAGATGCCAAGAAATTTTCTTAACTGTGTTAAAGAGTTTGTTTTGGGAAAATTTTAAATGCTATCCACTCTGTGGGGTAAAGGCTTTAAACTCTGTCCAGATATATGAAAACTTAAAAACTCCAAAGATGCATTTATATACTTTAATTAACCCATGATTACTTAATCGTTTGAAAAGAACTTTTAGATGTGCCAAATGCTCACTTTCATTCTTTGATGCAATCAATATATCATCAACAAAAGCAAATACCACTGCCATCTCACGAGTTACTTCATCAATAAACCACTGAAAGATTGCAGCTGTGTTGCAAGCCCATACTGCATTCTTGTGCTCTCAAAAATGTCTGAAAGCCATGGCAGTAGTCGTTTTATGAATATCAAAAAGGATAAACTGAAATCTGATGATAGGTTTTTACCAAGTGCATACGAGAAAATATTTTTGCTCCATGCAACTCCACTGCAAAATCACAATTACTGGGAATAGGGTACTTATCCCTCACTGTCTGTACATTTAACCTCTGAAAATCTTCCATAGATCTCCATTCATTTGTGTCTTTCTTTGACATCATGTACAGAGGAGAGGGGTAGTTACTTTTGAAGGGTTACATGTGGCCTAAATTGATCATTTTTGGATTTTAATTTTAGGAGTTTTCAATCTCTCTGTAGTTCGCCTAGGCTTGCATGACACAGTGCCAATGAAATGCATAATATTACGATTAACACTCCCATTAAGATCAGGAAGCTTCAAGAGTTAAGGAAGTTAGATAGTAACTTATATATTAATTTGTAATAATTCACTTTGATAGAATACAAATGTATCATAATGATACTGCAATTAATTTTTTAAGTAGTTTTTAAATCAACAAGTTTTCTATTCCATAACTCAGGTAGCAAATGAAAATAATGTAGAAAATCAGGTCCAATAATATTCATTGACTCTTTACACACATTGAAAGCAAAATTAAAATTGTGATGAAATCTGAGGTCAAGACTTTTGTCCATAAACCAGAATTGGAGTACCACTGGCAACAGAAAATGTCAGAATAGGTGTCTGACACTTTTCGTCTTTGGTAGCCGAGAGGAGAATGACATCCGAGCCAGTATTATACAAAAAGATTTTATCTGATTTTCTATCTATAATAAAAAGGCAGCAACACTCAGATGGCAAAGCACAAGTCACCATTACGCTTGCCTTGGTTCATTTCTCTGGAACGAACATGGGGGGGAAATATATTTTTTTTTAACTTTCTCATTAAATTTACAATGAGAAAAATAGGTGGATGCCCCCTCCCAATATTGCTAAAAGGAAAAGTTTGAAGCAGCTTTAGCTGAAGAGCTTCGTTTTCTGTTAAAATGCTTTTTAGGAACACTGCATGATTGTTGTAAAGACAATACTTCACCACATAATTTGCAGTCCTCCTCCAGCAGGGAATCCAGTTTAGAATTGTTAGACACATTGCTTGATACAGGTGAAGAAACTATGCGTACCTGAGCAGGTATGACTTTGAATATCCAAACCGCATTGCTGGCAGCTTTCGAAGAATTAAGTGGCTCCATCGATGTAAGAACAAATTGAACATTTGGTGGCATTCACTGAATAAACAACTCCAATAACAATGAGTCTGATATATCATGTTTTTCAGCAGTACTCCTTTTCATGGCACAAAGCACTTTGGATGGTTTTTCTCTCTCCAAGTTGTTCCTTGGCGAGTAATTTCCAGATTTCTTGGGTACTACTTTCCCCACAGCACTCAGTAATGGTAACTTTTTGGTCTTAATAAGAAGCATCAATGCTCTTCCGAAGTATGATGTCTTGAACCAAAGAAGCAATCTCCAGGAGCGAATGAGCAACGCAATAGTTGAATTTTTCTTGGGATCTATAATAGGCTTTGGTATAGCTAAAGGAAAAGTTGTCTCACACATAGCAAACTACAATGCAGAATCAATAGGATTGTAGATTGGTAGCTTTATGGCTGCTGTTTCGTCTGTGCTAGTCATTGAAGTCAAGGAAGCAAAAGCCTTGAAACAACCAAGTTTTGGGTTGAATTTGAAGTTTCATATGTTTAGATGGGTTGCCATTGTAGAAGTTTGGGATGTGGCTCGGTTTTAGTTCCTACAACACATGACTTCATGTAGCTAAAACAATCAACTTTATTAACACATCTTATTATTCATAAAAGCACATAAGCTACTATATGATGCTCGAACTTTACAAAACTGGCGATAGAGACAATGTGTTGTCAGCTGGTGGTACGCACAGCCATTGCAAAACAATGTGAAGTCATCTGGCAGCATACACAACTGAACATAAGATAACCATACGTTTATTTAGACAAAAGAATGGTGCATATCAGCTATGATTGAAATTAGAAAAAAAGTTTCTTGATGAATTATGATGGAATCTTAAATTGATTATGCCACTAAAGGAAATTGATAAAAAATGTATATTTCTAATAGAAAAAATTTAAAATGTGCCATTAACTACTACAATTTAGTTCTCTATAAAATTACTACTGACTAAACATATTAACTAACTCATAGATAATTGGAATACCTAGTTAATTAAAAAATATTAATGGGCAGATGCTAAAAAATAAAAGTGAGTTCTTCAGAAGTTATATGAAAAGGATATAGTGTACTTTTTAGTAAGATTTAAATAAAATAATAATAAATATATATAATTTTTATTCTTCTTAAAAAGTGCAATGCTTACTTTTTGTAGTTGTATTAACATTCATTCAGACAATTTGGCTAAAATTATTCAGAGCTCAGATGTGATTAAATTCATGTTTGCTTTAATTACCCCTGTGGTTTACATATTTTAATAGTATACATGCCTCTCGTGCACTTTCATTTTCATCATCTTTTTTTGCAGTTGAATCACTCCATCAAAAATTTGTCTTATAAGCATGTTTACAACTTTCATAATTTTTGTGTATATTTAACTACATTATAAATATGAATCACTTTAAGAAAAAAAGTCCTTCATGAAGACATTTCTTGCTTTAGGCTGATAACTTTCATGTACTTTGTGATATTCAGACAACTTAACCTAACCTTTTCAACTAATTTCTGTGCTTTTTTCATTTATGCTTTCAATTCCTTGAAAGAAAATCGTTTCAGTAATGCTCGTTGTTATTGTTGTTGCCAGTACTTGTTTGTTCAAATCATTAACTCCTTTATTATTTAAAAGGGGAAATATAATCTGAGAATCTCTTGAAAATATAAAGGTACATAAATATAGTTGTGGATAGGCAGCATTATTACTTTTTACACAGTATGATTTTTTTGGATCAGTCAATGATGTTGTGTATTTAGGCAGAATTTATCTCACTTTGCATAATTATTTATTTTACTTTGCATTGTGATTTATTTATAAGTTTTCATGAACTTCCGTTTGTTAGGAGGATATTTAGATAAATAAAGAAATTTAGAAAAATATATTAAATAAAAATGCAATGTATGTCAAGTGACCATAAATGTCATGATTGAAGAGGTCATGCCACTCAAAGGGTTAATGGTGATGATGATGAAATTTTTGTTGTCAGCTTGTTTCTTTGTTTTCAGACTTCCCCCCTTTCCCTTAATGCATTATGTTAAAATTTAATATATTTGTTTCATGTATGATATATTTGTAACAGAATCATATTATCATAATATTTTGTGATTTATTTGAAAAATGACATTAGGCTGCACTTACTTATGCAGAAGCTCAAATGAGAATAGATGACAAATCGCTGAATGATGATGTGACTGTAAGTTTACGTTTGTTGAATAGTCTTGCCAAGATTCTCAAAAAGCAGAGAATAGACAATGGGTGTGTATTTCTAATTTTCTATATAAGCAAACAGCAGTTATGTATTCATTACCTGTAATGTTACTGAACTTTTACTCTTGAATTTTAGTGCTCTGAGTTTAGCATCAACAGAAGTTAGATTTGCTATGGACACTGAGACTCATGACCCTATTGATGTCGAAAAGAAAGAATTAAAGTAAGATTTTGTTTTCTATAATTCTTAAGATTTATATTATTATGAAATTTTAATTTCTTCTTCAGATTTTTTAATGATATTTCATTTTAAATACTTGTCATGTATAATATTTCTTTTTGTTGATTGAAATAATGTTTTTATTTAATGTTGTATCATTTACTATCCTAGAAGGCATGCATTTTTATTTAGTTTTATAAATCCTTATTTAAATTTCTTTTATATATTTATAATATTCCTGAAAATTATGCAAGTTATTTTGCTCACATTTTATATTATGGAATTAATTTTATACTTGGTAGACGGATCTTATTAACCGTTCCACATGGGCTACAGAGATTAATTTTTTATGTATTGAAGTCATTTAGCAACTATTCAATCAGCAAGGAACAGAAAAAAAAATTGACAATGGTCTGTCATATTTTGCTCTACATTAAGTAGCAAATTTTAAATCTCTAAATTAAACTAAACTTCTTTGAATCTTATTTAATATAGTGAATGCATGGGATATCTATGTCCTACCCTCAGGTTAAAACAATTTCCAAATTAAAATTCTATAAGTTTCTTTTTTTTTAAATCAGTTTATATATATTCCATAAGTGAATCTTAAATATTTGCAATTTTAGATTTCTCTGAGTGATTTAAAAATATCTTTTACACTAACTTCTGATTTTAAAATGGCTACTTAGATATTGCCTCAGTAACTTTTGTAGAAGTTCCCAAGTTTTCAAAATGTACTAAATTCTGGCTGTTCTTCAGTTTTTAACAAGGAACATCACTTTTATATGCATCCTATTTTGTTGTTTACAGCTGCTTTTATAGACAAATTGTGATATATTTAATTTTAAACTCAACTTTAAAATATGTGCTTGTGGTAATTTGCATGCAGTAGAAGGAACTGTGTTTAAATTTCTGCAGTAGTACAGTAAAATAACTAGAAAGAACAATTATCTTGAATCTGTCTTAAAGCAATGACTATAAAATTTCCAACAAAACAAAAGAAATTAAAACCCGTCTTTAAATAAACTTATTATTTGATTTCTGAGATAAATACTTAATAAAAATGTAAAATATATGTGTAATAAATAATTTTTGCAATTATAAATCATTTTTTTTTCAATGAAAAATCACCAGACTGCATCTAGGGGATTGTGCTAATATGCAAATTCCATAAAATATCATATTTCAGTATCATTCATTATATTTAATATTGCATTTTGTTGCAGTAATATTCATACCCCCCCTCCCAAAAAAAAAAGAACAGCATTTTCAAAAGCGAAAGAAACAGCATATATTTATGAGTGTTATTTTAACACCAAATGTAGAGGATACGTGCTTATACTTATTCTCTTATTTTCCTGTTACACATAGCATTTTATCAGGAAGCTAAATGTGGTTATTTTCTGTTAGAGTTTCATTATAAAAATAATAAACTTTTTTTTTTTTTTTTTTTTTTTTTTTTAATAAGCTAGTTATAGTAACAGCAAAATATATTAGCTCAATTTCGGACTCATATTAGATTTTTAATATCAGTATCATTATTTGAACTTAAATTTAACTATAAGACTAAATTTAACTATGTAGACTGCAACAGATATCCAGTAATATTTATTGCCTAATAAGTCTGTAATTCACATTTATTTTTAGATATGTACGAACAAAATTTTGATTCCAGAGAACTCAGCATGGTGGTAAATTCATCAGTAATTTTTTTATATGAATGTGTATATAAGTCTTTTCATAAAAATATATTAGGACATTGTGTCTGAAAAAAATTATTTTACTAATGAAGTAATTTAGTATTATCTGCATCAGTTTTTTTTTTTTCATATAATAAAATATATATCGTAAACTAATGCAATTTTTTTATTTTATTCCTTTCTAGATAAATCTTTACTTCTGAGTATATATTTCATTGTCTTTTGAAATTAGTTTTGAATTTATGTGGTTAACATGCATAAAGAATTTATATTTCCACAACTTTTCAGACACTGGATTAAGAAATTAAATGCATTAATAAACCTTATTGTTTTGATTCTATTAGCTTCAACTGACACTAAATTATTAGAAATAATACACTTACATTCTCTTAGCATAAAAACATGAAGCACAGTGAAGAAAAGAGACAATAGAATAAAGAATTTGCTTTTAATATTGCTAAAATTTTATTTCTAACATTTTTGTTACTTGCTAATAGTGCTATTAATTCACTCATAAGGATTCATTTTAAGAAACGTCTTGCTGCTAGCATGTGTGTTGAGTAGTATATTTATTCATATTTACTTTGGTGCAAAACATAAAAATTATTTTGAAAATAATTTAACTGATGGTTATGCAGTTTATTTTTATAAAATATGCAAGCTTTTTTTAATGTAATTTACATTAAATTATTTATATAATGTATTTTTCACCTTATAAAACAATTCTGTCTGTCATGATTTTCTCTTGGACTGATGAAACTATTATTTTCCTCATACATATTTAATAAAATAGAATAATTCTGCATTAAATAATTCATTATGTATAAATAGGTTTTAGTTAGTTATTTATGTGCAAATGATGAAATTAAATATAAATTTAGAAAGGAAAAATTTAAACAAATTTCAGAAACATATAACCTCAGAGTCCTGTTGTCTGTGTTTTCATTGTTCTAAGAAAAGTTTACTGTGTTTAATAATTAACATCTCAGATTTTCTTCAGCTATTAAATAAATAGTATCTAGTAAATTTTATCATTACTTGTAATAGCAAAAATTTTTCATTTCAATTTGATTCTTTTTTTATAATTTATAATTGGTATTTTTAGAGTCAAGATATATTCTCCCAACTTATTATTTTGGGAATCATTTGCTTTTTAAACTAAGTTTAATGACAGAGATAACAAGTTTGTTGGTAGAAGCTCAAAAAGTAATTTCATCATATCCAATTTCATAAATATATATATATCATGTTAAAAGTTGGAAAACTATTACTATTCCGAATTTGTCACATGATATAAAACATTCAAATGTAAACTGTCCTTTTGCAGGGAAACAAATTCTATGGTTGAAGAATTTATGTTGCTTGCCAATATTTCTGTAGCCAAGCGAATACTTGAAGAATTTCCAGATTGTGCATTGCTTCGAAGGCATCCTGCTCCAGGTGTTTCAAATTTTGAACCCCTTATCAAGGCTGGCCAGTCTAAGGCATGTAATGTGAAAATATTTTATTTTGCTGCTTTATGTTAAACTAGTTTCAAATTACTTGCAAGAATTTTTAAATCTTCGATGATTTTTTTTAGCTAGCTTAAACATTTTTTATCTTCTTCCTTAAATAAGTGAAGAAAGGCACATTTTTAACTAGAGTATGCAGTGTAATTTTTTTTTTTTTTTTAGTTTTCATTAATAATATTAAAAAATTATCAGTATTAAAGTTTGTTATGGTATTTAGGTAGTTAAAGTAATTCTTACATAACTTACATTTTATTTTACATTAGTTTTCCTAAATAATTACACATATAAGTTGTAAAGCATACTTTTGAATCCTTAGTAAAAATACACTTATAACTCTGTCTTATTTAAAGTATGAAGTCTCTGTTAATAGATTGCTATCTCACTAGCTGTAATTTTAGTAAATAATCATGAATCTGTGACTATTGATTCTGTATCCTGGTTTCTGGAAAACAAAAAATAAATAAATCAGAGGAACACAAAATAGAAGGTGCTTATTTTTTTCAAATTCAGATGAGATTAAATCATTTTGTAGTGAAGTACTACAATTCAAACTCACTCAGTACTTTCTACAGTAATTCTGATCATGAGTACCTACATTTACACTTTGCTGTGATGTAACCAATTGCAAAGAAAGTGAACATGAAAATTATCCATGTGGAATTTTGTGTGCCTTCTCATATTATAGATAATCTCTTAAACTAAGTTTACAGTGTTGAATAAATGTCAGTGTGATTGGAAGGGGCCATGGAAAAATTAGTATCCATAACCAGACAAAGTTTGGCTCATGTTATAAATTGATAGCTCACACCAGTAGGTGGCACTCCGAGCATCTTGTCTCTATTGATATTCTATAACTTAATTTGAGTTTTGATGGAAGAATGAAGGTGTTAAGCCTAATAATGATGAAGGCATGCATGTGCCTAATAATAATGCTTGTAACCAGTGAATTATAATGTAAATAAAATTTTGTGTATTAATAACGAAATGTAATAATCACTTACTTCTAGATTTAACCCTCTGAGCAGCCAGGATTTTCACTAAGAAAGTACAAGTTTCCCAAAACTACTATGAGAACAAATTATTATTTTTTTTTTTTATTTTTTATTTTAATGTAAAAACTCTCTTGGTATTTCATACCAAGATTTGTGTACTTTTGATGTATTACCTTAATTTTTTGACATATTTTAATATGCACATATATATATGTAAGAAAATGAATATGTAAAAGATTAAATTAGCAGCCTAAATTAATTCCCTTCTCATTTTAAAACTAGTAACCCCTCTCTGCACTGCATCATTTCCAGAAAAATCCATGCTGTATGACTCTTACATAATTCTGTTGATGTAAACGGAACTAAAACTCTTTAACAGCCAATAATAATTTTACAGCAATATTAACTGTCCAATCAGAATGTATTGAGAACCAAAACTAACTCAGTCTGAATAAGATTTCACCCTGAAAATAATGCACTTGTTTTCCACGCTTTGGCCTAGCTGCACTGCTGTTTGCCTGCATGCTACAAAGTTATCAAAAATGTAAGCCTTTTAGAACAGGCACATTTAGTATACCGACATGTTGCTGAAAATAAAACTGAAGACTTAATCTGCCTTTGCCTCCAATTTCCTAATCATTATGGATCAGCTATTCTATGTCATCAAAATTTCCTGCTCCTGAGTATATTACATATATATTCTTACAGATATCACAAAAAATATTCTAGGTTGTATATATATGGCCTTGCCGCTTAGAGGGTTAATGCTCTCTGATGGTAATGGAAATAGTTATTACAGCTCATCTTCTCTCTCTATATCCTTTTTTTTTTTTTTTTTTTTTTTTTTGTTTTGTTTGTTTGTTTCCCGTTGTTGCTGTTTTCTTATGTGTTGTGCATTTTTTATTTTAATTTCTTCTGATTTTTTTAAAGAATTTCTGTATTCTATATGGAAGGGTCTTTAATTAAATTCTTTATCCTGTATCTCCTAATATCCATATCATCTGATGTTTCTGAAGAAAAAAATCTGCTAGCAAAGTACAGGGTAGCTGTTTATGGCCATTTTGACTTTCTTACACTGATTATCTAGAAATTTTTGTTGTTAAGTTTTCGCAGATCTGAAGCTTCACCTCAAAGAAATTAAGCACCTAGCAGGTGGATATATTGAATATGGGCTGTATGCTAATTAGCTATGTATATTCCGATGAGTAATTTAATGTAAGCTTTTAGGATTTTTCAAGCTTATGTCATTTATTGCTATATCTTATGGTTTACATTACAGCTGCAACATTGACGCAAGTTAAGACTTTACAAAAGTTTGAGCTGACATTTAACAGCTCGTATTTAAGTGTAAAGCAAAAATATTAAATAATTAACTGAAGTATGCAACATTCTGACTGCTGCTAAAAATTTTGACTAATACTTTTGTTAAATGTAAGTTTGATACACAATTATCTGTTTAGGTGAATTATGTTCTGGTTTTGAGCTGTGTAACATTTGAAAATTTGATTTATATTTGACATTTCTGAGTTCCATTAAGAGTAATTTAGCCTTCATTTTAATTCAGATTAGTATTGCTCATATGGTCCATAATATTTCATAATAACATAATGTATTTTTATTTCAGTTTTGATAGCTGTACCTTATAAGAGAATAGTGTTGTAACATCTAATAAAATATGTTTAATACTTTTTTTATATATTAGGATTTTAAAATAGAAGTGAATTCTGGAAAAGCTTTAGCAGAATCATTGGATGCTGCTGTTGTTCCTGAGAACCCATATTTCAATGTTATGCTGAGAATGGTAGCTACTCGCTGCATGGCACAGGCATTATATTTTAGTAGTGGAGTGTTACCTCAAACTGAATACTTTCATTATGGTCTGGCAGTTCCAATATACACTCATTTTACTTCTCCTATTCGAAGGTAATTTTTATTAAAAAAAAGGTGTGAAACTTATTAATAGATTGCAGAAAACTGTTTGATTTTGTATCTTATGTCTTTTTTAAATCACTTTCATAGTTTGGATGTAAAAAAGTTTTTCTTTGTTAATTAGTATTTCTTTTTTATGTATATTTTATCACTGATCCATACTTTTAAAATTGTAAACAAGCATGTGTATTCCATTAACCCTTCATTTCTAGCTAAAAGGTTTGCTGTTATCGATAGAGATAACTGCAAAAGATTTACTTTAAAGAGCAGGAGAATTTATTGCTAAGCCCAATTGACAGAAAAACAACATAAATCAATTTTTTTTTTGTGTGTAATACCCTGTAATTGATATTAAGTCATTCTTTTTGCATTTTTAAAGTATCCACTTTTAAAAATCAATGCAAACATAAGTGTGTGTGGTTTTTTTTAATAATGTTTAAATTTCATAGCTAAGTGTCTGAAAAGTTAATACTTGTATTGAAGCACCATCATTCATACATAGATTAAACTTCAGATTTTATTTGAAATAACTACACTAGAATTGATAAATAGCTTCCATTTACACAAAATTTTAAAAGTTTTTATAATTTCAGTACTTATTTAAAATATTTTTTTTAGTATTATACACTTCTAAACGCAAATCAATATATACTCCATCTTAGGTTGGCAAAGGTTGCATATTTTATCTGTTATGTTTTCCTAATACTCCAGCATAATCTGTTATAAAGAGAAATTTTATGTATGAAAAGTTTTATATATAAAGTGAGATAAATAGATCCTCAAATAATCAACTACAACAAAATTCCTTGTGTTTGACCAAAAAACAAAACAAAAAAAAAAAAAAAACTTAAATTTTACTATTGTGAATTGATGCAGTTTAGATTGATATGTTACAGATATGTAGTTTCATTTCAAAATGTAGCTACAAGAGAATGTGTTTTTTCTAATAACTGGATTCTTGCTGGCTAAGCATTTATCAAAAATTATAGTCAAAACCACCAGTCATTTAGCTGTCTAATCAGTGAAAGTATTGCCTAAATGCATCATAGGGGGTGACTGGTTTTACACTCACAAAAAAGTGGAGATTCCATCTTAATTTTGAAGGAGAACATGTCAGAGGATGGATCCGAGGTCCTTACACCCTCTTTCCCTGCCACTAAACCCTCAACAGTATTTTAAGTATCCCCAGTCCCACAAACACACTAACAAAGTTACCACCATGCCAAGAGGGAAACAGAAGAGAGTTGTTATATTACATCCAAGATGTGTGCTGACCTCCCATATCATCACACAATTATTTAACTCGCTAGAGTTTTGCAAATTTTACCATATTGTTAAGCCATAATTAGTGGAAGGCTCAGATACTTTACTATGAATGCTTCTTTGTAAATAATACAATGTATCCAAAGTGAATTCAAAGTTTTCTTTTAAATAAACACCTGCAGTCATTCATAACAGCTGGCATTAAGTGACATCATCGATAACTTGGTGTATTTTGTCCATTCAAATTTTTCAGCTGCATTTCATAAATGTGTGAAAGCTATCAAAAAGGCTTTGAGACTTATATTTCAATAATAATAATTTTACAAAAGGCAGGAAAATAATTTTTTTTTAAGAAAAACTATGATATTGCCATTTGTGAATCATATATAAAAGATAAAATATGCATCTTTTATTACTGTATAGGCTCTCAATTATCTGCCTTCCAAATTTTTCCTTTTTTTTTTTTTTTTTTTTTTCTCTTGTGAATACATCATTGAGATTCTTTGCCACATGCTGGATTCTGCATTGAATATTATTATTAGACAAGGAAACTGTAAAACCAGTTTCTACTACACATTTGCTATTATAAAGCCATAATCCAAATAACCATAATTTTATTTGGAACATTTCTCTTTCTTAGCATATCTCACTACTAGTTTATTGCACGTCCCCCTCCATCTTGTAATACATATTCTAAGATGAAATATTATAATACAGTAAAAATTGGTCTATTTTTAAAAAGTAAGACCAAAAGGATTTTTAATGTGTGCTTGGTCACGATGTATTCGGTGAGTTTACTGGTCTAGTACTTACTGGATACTGATATACAAGTGCAATGTATACACAGCCAGCTGAGAAACAAATCCCTTTTCTATTACAGTAACTTAAGCAAAGTAAAATTTAATATGATTTTTAAGTATATTAAGCACCATTCAACATTTCTACTGAAGAGCAAAACAGTTAGTGATTTATTCTTCATAAGGCTGTAAATTTAAAAGCAAATAAGATCCTAAGGTATACATTTTAGGATTAACTGTATTATGGGATCATGAAAATATAAACAGCTAAGAAGAATTAGACTCTACTATTATTACTACTTATTACTGCAATACAATATATTGTTATACTTGATACACGTTGATGGCGGTGCTGATAGTCCTTTTCGTGTGGTGGTGCTCTTGAATGAGCAGTCTGTTTCATGATCCATTCATTTTGTGAATCCCCCTAGTGAAGTAATAATTACAACAATTTTTTTTTTTTTTTTTTTAATTTGTATGAAGGAAGACGAGAAAGCGATGCAAAGAATGCTATAAACGCTTAGCAAGCCTAAAAGGTACTCAGTAGGCCACAAATATAGCAAAGAAAGTAACAAAATATTGCGTTAATTGTAAGGGCAAGCTGGCACTTTGTTTAGCCTGCTTGCATAGAAAAAAATTAATAATTATATATAATTATAAGTTACATTTTAAGTAATTTGTTTTGTATTGAATGTTTGATTATAATGTTGAAATGTTAATGTATGCTGTCGAATAATTAAAATAAAATAAAATTTTGTACTACGTATTTTTTTATATATAAAAGCGTGTCTCATCGGTGAGTCATGCCAGTCTGCGGAACAATCAAGCATGGTGCAAAAGTATGACCCACTGGTGTCAGCGTGTTAAAAGAATCAGATTCTGATGTCATTCAGAAGGAATTTATGACTAATGCATTGTTACTGAAGATTTTAATATCTAAGATATATAGTAATAATTTATATAAATCTACTTAATTATGCTGTTGCAATATTCTAAATCAAAATGTTTTCTTCTTAAAATTTTTGAAAAGATTCGAATTAAATTGGAAAGGAAACATGTTTGTGAAAAATTTTTTTGCTCCTGATTATGACAAGGCAATTAAGGGGAAGGTGTTTTCATAGACATCTTTTTAAGAGTTGCTGGTAGCTAAAAATTGTATAATGTGATATATAATTATAAAAGTATTCCATCTAAGTGGAGCAAATACTTTACCTATGCTTATTCCTCATTTGTTTTTCAGGTACTCTGATGTTATTGTACATCGTTTATTAGCTGTAGCTATAGGAGCTGATATTACATATCCAGATCTTGTAGATAAAAAAAAGACACAGGTATGTAACACATTGTTATATGAATGTTTTCTAATGCCTGAATATATATCAATAAGTGATCTATTTTATTAACCATTATCTTATATTGATTGTTTCAGGAAATTTGTAATAATTTAAATTACCGCCATAAACAAGCTCAATATTGTGGAAGAGCATCTGTGAATCTGTATACTCATGTAAGTATGAAGGCCTTTTTTTTTTTTTTTTTTTTGTGTGTGTGTGTGTGTGTGTTTGGGGGAGAGAACCTAAATTTTAATTTAATTTTAGCATTTAGTCAGAGTTTTAAAACCATAAAAATAGGCTTAAAATTTTCCCTTCTGCCCCGATGCCGCCCAATAAAAATCACTCTTTTTTTCCCCTAATTTTTTAAGTGGTATTTCTGGATGAACAGTGCCACCACTTATTAAACTCATTAATTAAGTTTGTTTATTCCTAGCTTTTATTTCATTTTCTTCTCTAATTTTTCTTTCCTTAACTATTGAGTTTAATAATCCAATTACAAATTCTGGATCATCTTTAAATGTTTTACTGTCCTTAATTTTACCTTTTAATTGAACCACTGTTAAACCAACAGTTTGTGTATCTTCAATTTCACCAAGAAGGTTTACTAAGTCTTCTTTCTTAGTATTCTTATACATTTTAATTTATATATATCTTACATATATATATATATCTTCAATACATCTATACTTTGACTAAATAAAATCAAAAGCTTCCTACCTGCTTCTCTTGAAGTTTCTCTACCGTCATCTAAACCTCTGGTTCTCAAAAGAGAGCGTGTGATATCATCCCTTTCTTCATCCACCGCCTCATAGAGAAATAACTCCACCTTCTTGTATTTTAAACATTTATTGCACAAAACACAAAACTAATATTAAACTACAGTACTAATAACTGAAATATATAAAGTAATACAAGTTAATTTTGTTTTCATTAATGGCTCCCACGAGCTTTCCCTAGACCTCTCTGTCGGTCTCCCTCTTGGAAACTAAAACTTTTGGCACCTTCAGATTAAAAGCCAGCGCCCTCTATACATTTTGTTGGTTCGCGTCACCCGTACATCACAGTGACATGAATCACTTTTGTATTCCTTGTAAATAAATACTTGCCACTATTAAAGTTTCAACCCTCGTATGTTGACAAAGAGTTAAAAAAAAAAAGCTCATGAAATGCTTCCTAGCACTATTGTATGTTAACAGTCTTTAAATGAAAAGGAAGTATGAAAATGAGTGACTAATTGAAGAAAAATTAAATGAAATAACTTTCATGAATGAAAAATATTGAAGCAATGTATGTAAAAACTAACAATGAAAGTGGTAAAAGAACTGTAGATGATAGTGATTTCAAAAAGTGATGACATACCAACATCAGTTGAATTTTTAAAAGCACTGTAAATTCTAAGAAAAACTTTTGAGCTGCAAGCAGTTTTAACAAAATTGAGAACAAAACTGAAAAAAAACTGCAGTTGAACAATATATAAAAGCAGATAGAATAGTAGTTTGTAAGAGATAAAATTATAAAAATATTTTTACAAAAAATAATAAATTAATTAATTTCAAAATTTCATATAAATAGATTAATTTTAGCATTAATTTTTGGTTTTAATTTTAGGATTAATTATTGAATTAGCTGTTAATTATTAATTTACTTGAAAAGTTTAAAACTGATATCACAATTTGCAATAAACAAACTGCCGTCTATTACCCTCAGCTGCTTAATAAACAAAAATATTGTTGGAATGGAAATGGTTTTGATAAGCTATGGGTACTAAATATGCATCTGAGAAAAACAATATAAATAAAACTACCCTTAGTTTAATCTTAAAATTTTAACTGGATGGCTCTATCCACATGATTTTAACAGATGCTTAAGCACCATTGCTTAATGGAACATGGGAAAATTATTAAAAAAAATATAAGTTGTAAATTTTGTAATATCACATTTATCATACTTTTCTTTACATTCTAGCAGACTTTACACTGCAATTATGCTGAAATCAAATCAGATTTATTTTAGAGCGAGCATCAAAATTTAGGAAAATCATTAGTATATCGAGAATAAAGATTTAAGAGTGTAAGATTCTCCTGCATGCGTAATAAAATTTGATATATTTCATAAGTTTGGTATAGTTAATTAATGGAAAATAATTGTGTAATCAGCTTTAGATTTTTATGATTAAATAAATGGCAGATATTATTACTTAAGTCATTAAAAAAACTTATGATAATTAATCAATTTTTTTATATCCTGTTTTACTTTTTTTTCCCCTCTTCCTAATTTTAAACTGATGTTTTAGTTTTACTTTAATATATTTTCTCTTGATTAGATATTTTTCAAAGACAAAGTTGTGGAAGAAGAAGGATTTATATTATTTATTAGAGAAAATGCTCTTCAAGTACTTCTACCTCGCTTTGGACTAGAGTGTACTTTATATCTGAGCTCTGTTAATAAAGATGAAGACACAGTAACATTTGAATATGATGAAGAGGTAAAGTTGATAGTGTTTCTTTTTCTTCATCATATGTCTTATATAATTTCTTACCTTTATGTGTGTGTATATGTATATACAATAATTTTAAAATGCATAGATAAAGACACTGGAACTTTTACATCATACGAGATTGCATAGATGGCTGAGAAAACTGTAGTGGCTTGAAGGTAGGAACGAGTGGAAAAACATTATGAAGCATTTAGCACAACTTAACTTGAAGAATCACAACCTTTATTTTTTACACATATCAAATCATTCTTTTCAGACAAAATATTTCTTAATTATCGTAGAATACAATAAGTTCCATTTAAGTACGATGTCATCATAGGCAAATAAGCAGCAGCCGGGAAAAGTAGTGTTTTGCGAGCACATAAGCATTAAGTGGAAATCAGAAGAGTGTCGTAGTAAGAGTCGGAAAAGTTTCAATTCCAAGTTTTGGTTTACAATTAATTTGATTGGGCAAGAAGTATCTGCATTAAAACATTATGTAACATCAAAAAATTTGGAATTTGGGAGAACAGATAAATTTAGGGGGAGATCACCAAATTTAGGATCTTTAGTTTTGAGGTCGTCAATTATTTTTAAAGCAGCTATGATATTTTCTTATATCTTGCATATATACACACACACATAATGCACACTTTAAAGACAAAAAATAAGATTGAAATTTGCTAGTGTGCAGAGTATAAAAAAAAGATAGATTTAAAAATAAAAAGATGAGCATACAAAAATTAGATTTCTATATGTATGTAAGTCCTGTTTATTTAAAAGAAACGACATATCTTATGAACTTAAGAATTTTCATTATCAGGTAACGTGAAAAGTTCATCAAATCCATCTTCTATTATATCTTCAGGCACCTAATCGGATTCAGTTTTATCTTCACCATTACTGTTACTCTTATCCATAAATAAATAAATAATCTTCTATTCCTTCTAGATTGTTAGGTATACTACATTTTTTAAATGACTTTTGAATTTTGTTGCATTTAATTTCATTCTATGCTTTTATTATCCACTCACACCATTTTTAGACTGGCATACTGCCTTTTTTGGCATAATGCCATTTGGTCTCCTTTTGTAAATGTTTTTTCACCTTTTAACATCCATGTATTCTACTGTCATTTTAAATTTTCTTTGAATGATTTATTAATACCCAATTCATAGGCTGAACTAATAGGATTAATCTGCTTGGAATAACTGCCATGTCTGTGGTACACTTTTTCTACAATTTCTCCATATTATCCATTAGATGGGATTTGAGTATGTCATAAACTAAAGACTTTCTGAATTCTATAAGGCAACAAGATACTTTTGCCAAGCATTTTTTACACACAATTTGACACCGATTTTGACCTTCGAACCTTTCTTCTGAATATGAAAAAAATATCATTTGGGAAATTAACATTTTAGCATAAAATTTCTTTTAAAAATAACAGTGGGTTTTAATTTTGTTCTGTCCACTAAGAAGGAAAGAACTACAGTGAGGTGAAATTTTTTGGGACTGTAATTTTTATATGAACCATTTTAGTTCTTTTTACATCAGTTGTTTTATTTCCTATCGTATCAAACATTACTGCAGTTTTATCTGTATCTGCAATATGTATCAGTAAATATCTTTTTTTTTTTTTTTTTCCTTAGCACGTCAATAACATATTTTTGGAAACATCAGTTTGTTGTCCAAATCTTTTTGGAGTCTTGTGAAACTTTTTCCCACCTCATAAAACTAAATTTTTCCATGCTCATAAATTGACTACACCAACTTAAAGCTGCTTTAAAGTTTTCACATTCTTTTTTCCCACTTTAAGACAAGTAAATATGCACTGTTCTTTGGTGCAGTTAATCCATTCTAGCGTATGTCTAGGACCCAGAATGCAACACTTTATTCAAGAATAGGCCATTTCATTACTCCTTTGCACAAAGCCCATTTATTCTTTGGCATATTAATTATTGTGATTTCATTTTTCTTCCTTTCATGTATGGAGCTTTCATAAACACTAAACATCCTTGCTGCAGCATGATTTCCATTTTCTTTCGCAAACTGAAAGACTTTATTTGAAACCAGCACTGTGCTTGTTTCATTTGTCAGAAGCCATATTTGCTACTAAAAGGAACACTAGATCAGCTGTATTTCAACTAAAGCAAATGTGATTTACTAAAGCCTTTGATGTTCACTTCAAAATCAGAGCTTCAAGTGACTACTGGAAGAGAGAACATCTGAGTCCTAATACCACAAATTCTTTGGGTTAGAAGTGCATTCTTACCCTAAATTATATCCCCTTTTTCTCGAAACTCTAGAATAACATTCTCGTGCACATTTGCATTGAATACAACCATTCTCTTTGCAGTATTATTTACTCCCTCAAGCATTTTCTTCACACACACAGTGTTCCCCTTATCGCTTCCCAATTCAGTATACCATTGTTTGAAAGCTGGGAAAAATCTTTTAATGAATGGTTTAAAAATATAAGAGCATCAGACATGTGTCTTTCAGGTTTCTTCATAAAGAAAATGGTACACATTATATAGAGAATGTACCTACAGATTAAAAAATGTAGCTTGAAATTATAGGTGTGCATTATATGCCAGAATGTACAGTAAGTCATCCAAGTTTCAAGAATTTTTTTTTTAATTGAAGGCCTATGATTAGAAACTATCTACCTTCATATCAGAAGAGTAAGCTGGAGAATGATAAGCATTCTAGGTATTTCAGGTTTTTGAATCTCTCACTTTGAGAGTTGCATCCATCTCTAGCAGAGTTGCTATTAAACTGGAGGAGGCATAGCATTGCCTTTTAGCTGTACGAAAGACTCCTTATTCTCAGCAATAAGTGATTTGGATCTGTTTACTGAATTACAAATGATAGGTGGGGAGTTGTTGAAGTGCTCAGTTATTAATCGCTCCAATTAAAAAAAGTTATGAAGTGTAAACTGGCATTAATATCAGCTGTGCATTTTCTAAAATTTGCTGGAGGAAAAAAAAATAAATCACTGGAACAGAACATTAAATGCAGTCTATTTATAGAATGTGCTCATTATTCCTTTATATACACCATGCCGAAAATTTAAATCTAAAAAACAATTTAAGTGAAAGATAGAAAATGACTGTAAGAAAGGTACAGATATTAGGACTATAAATAACAACAGTTACAAAGGTGTAGGAAAAATTCTTAAATGTGTAGAGACTTATATACTGAGAAATAAACTGAAATATGGAGTTAGACATAAATTGGGTTTATATAAACCTCTTAGAAATGCAGAGAGACAAAAAGATATAATATGGCTATTCGTATAATCTTATTCTAAGGAATTTCATTTCATGCTGTTACACTTCTGAGTGTGGGTAGAAATTTATCTGCTGGCCAGTTCCTCCTATGAATACCTTCTTTGTTAAAAGTCATTGATAAATGCAGTTTTGTTAGGATAAATATTTATTACCTATTAACAGAAAACAAGAAAAAAGTTCCTAGAAAAGCCTCATGTAAAAATTTGCTTTCTTTTTTCTGCAGTAGATCTCCACTACATGAAAGAACAGATAGGTAGTCATTTATATTATGTCATTCTATCCCAGTAAATGACTACCTCCAAAGAACATCTGTCTTATATATTTGATAGATGAGACTGATTTTGAAGGGTGTTCCGTGCTCCATAGTGTGTAAACATTTTCACTAGCTCTTCAAATTAAAATGTGCATTTGCTGTTTTACATAATTTACTCAAATTTGTTTTTTTAAAAAAACTTTTTTGTTTACAAACTGGTAGTTCATTGTGGATTAATAGTCTGTAAAGGAAAAATATAAAGTATTTATAAATATGTATTCTGTATGAGCAATATAAATTTAAGTGTGCAGAATACCTTTCCTTATTAAACTTTACTTTTTTACAGACTACATTTAAGTCACTTACACTGTATATGTATTTATAAGTGCATGATTTATTCTAAAACCATAGGCAAGAATTCTTGCCTTTCTGGATAGTGTATGTAAACTGTACACATTCTTTAAAATGCCATCAAGACCCATACCTTGTGAAAAAAAGTATTCTCACATAAAATTAAGGGCACACAAAATAAATAATTTGACGCGTTTGCTTTATTAATTATAAATTAAATTCGATAACAGGTCCCCATTCCCCCCCCCTCTCAGTGAAAACTTTTCCAGAGAGAAACAGAGAAAACAGGCTGCCCTGTGATATAAAAATGGAAGGTTCTGTAAAATATATATTTCATTTAGTAAAATTATGATGATACTTTATAATGAAAACCTTACATATATGCTGTGCAATATGCTTAGACTACATAAGTATCTAAATTGAATCATTCGTTGACAGCAGAGTGCAGTGCTATGATTTTTTTTGGGGGGGAGGATTGTTTAAAGTAACCATTTAATTCATATATAAGCATATTTTTTAAATAAAATCCTGTTAACTGCATGACTTGTTGAAATTGCTTGTGTGTTTCAATTCTGTATGTGCAGACATTTCCTTTTACTTCTTTTTAAATTGACTATGCTAGCTTGTCTTCAAAAATAGTAATTTCTATGAAAGTACAGTACAAATTCTGAGACCTGGGCTCATCAAAATTTCAGTGATTCCAAATTTTGAAATTTTCCAGATTTTAGATCATCATATTTTTAGTTTAATTAGATAATCTGTAGAAATTATAAAAATAAAAATATGAAATAGTTGTTTGTGAACAATAAAGCATTTGTGATTTTAAGGAAATTTACCCCCCCCAAAAAAAGTCACTACTAATTTGTTTGTTTTATTAAACATTTCTTTCAATGTAGGTTGTTTAAGTTACTTCACATAATTTCTTCTTCAGTCATCAAACACCATTGTTCAAGTCCCTTAATTGCCGAGTTGAGAATTCCCATTAAATTATCAATCAAAAAAAATTTTTTTTTTTTTTTCCTTTCTTTCTTTTTTCCCTCAGCAATCTCTTTGTCACTTTTTTATCAGTTGTGATATTTTCTGCATTTGGAAGCATACTACAGATTTTGAGGAGTGTCTTGTTTCCACATACCTTAATGCTTAGGTTTGTGGTGCTTAGGTACTATTGGTGATGTGTCAGGAGATTGATGAATTATGGCATGTTCTTTTGCTAAATTTTGTCGTTTTTATCACATGCTATGTAAGCCTGAATTATATTAGCTATGTATTATATTTGCATCTATTTCCTGCCTATGCTTAATGCTTATCTGAGTCCCAAATAAATAAATTCCCACGTTTACTGTATAACAAATACAGTAGTAGCTTATCTGCATAACATATCAATTATTCTTAATCCAAACAGTATAATTTACAAGCCTATAAGTATAATTTACAAATCTATTTTTTGCATACGTAATTTAAATTTGTCAATACACTCAATTCTTCCAGTGCAGTTGGTTGAAAGCCATAATTTTGGACAAGTATAATGTCAACATAAAAGATTATCACAAAAATAAGAAATGATTGGCAGATTTGCATTAGTGATATAAATTATTCACTAGATGTAAAATCAGCAACAAGCTTTTGTAGAATGTTTCGATTCAAGATGTATGCCAAGCCAAAAAGCAGCTACAGAGCCAACAAATTACTGATTGTGTAGATTTAAGTTTTTTTTTTTTTTTTTTTTTTTTCCTCCTGTGTTTCTTTGACATGGAGGTGTTTTATCTAGTACCAACTGAAATTAATATCAAGACTTTTTACATACTGTATAAAAATGTCTACTGCACATTGCATGAAGCATTAAACATGTGCTAAAGTGGGACGTTAATTTTAGAATATAATTCTTTCTCCGATTTTGGAAAACAAAAATATGCTTGTTTTCTGGAGGTCTGGATATTAGACATCCAGATTTCAGACTTTGTATTGTTTAAATATCTTCAAGTAAAAATAACATTGCACTTAACTAATTATTACTGTTTATGAGCAAAATATTTATTTGATTTTTTAACAGGGTCCGTCACAAACTGCAGGAGGAATTACTTTAAGACAGTTTGATCCAGTGACTGTTCAACTGCACATTGATAAAACTAATATTCAGCATCAGAAAACAATCTTAAAACTTGTAAAACCTCATGTATGTTATTCATTAAAATTTAATGTTATAAATTTTAAAGCATAATTTGTTTTCTTGTATTATAATTTTCTGTTTTATTTCTTTTAGATTCCAAGGTTCAGTGTTCCGCCTCTAGCAGATGAACCACCTGTCAAAAAACAGAAAACTGTGTAATATTATAAATAGTTTCAAATAAATTTTTTATTTCTTTTAAATATTTAATTCAATGCTACAGTCAATTAAATCAGCATTAAGGGGACTTGATTAATGGTTGTTGTTGTTGTTTTAATGTGTGGAGAGGGCAGGTATAAAAGATCTGCTAATTCTTAAACAAGATATTAGCTTTTATAAAACTATGCAAAATTATAAGTACCATCATATTTTCATATCAGATGAGAAGATTTTGCGTGCTTTTTTTTTGTGAGTTTTTTCAGGAAAGTTACGTCATCGGTGCTCCTTTTACGCTTTTTATCCGTGAAATAGAAGTATTTTATTTTCTTTCTAAATTAATTCTAATAAAAAGAAATCTCCTTTAAAAGTATATGTATTTCATGTATAATAGCAATTCTATTAAAATTATATTAATTAATTTTGAAATTAAATAGTATTATATAGTATTTGGCTAGATCTCATAAAAATGATAAAAAACCTGATGTGAGGTTTAAATCCGTTATATTTTGAAATTAAAAATTAAAACAGTCTTTTTATACGTATTCTGAAAGCTAAGAGCTGTGCAGATTTTTTTTTTTTAACAAATTATCCATTATATTCTTGGGGAGGATTTATAATTAAATTATTAAAACATAAAGGTGCAGTATCTTTAACTTTTCCTAATAAAATTCAATACTTTTTACAATGCCATAATAAATAATGGTAATAATACTTTAAATAATGTAATAATACATTAAATATGTAAGTAATAATGTGTAAAAGTATCTAAATAAATAAAATTTCTTATATTTTAAGCATATCTAACTTTTAGATTCAATTTTTATCCCTTCTGAGTGATCTTTGATTTATAAAATTTATAAAAATGAGACTTTATGAAAATGCATGCATTAAAATACAGCCAATTTTTTATTTTAAGAGAAAAATCAGGAACCAGATTTAAACTGAGCATGTGCAGAATTCTGTATTTTTCATTGTAAAAATGAATTTTATATTAAATTTTGGAATTAACTTTTACAAAAGAATTATCTTTCTTACAAAAGCAAAACACGACATTTTCAGTGCGAAAGAGATGTAATTTCAAAATAATATTTTAAAATATAGAAGTTTCAAATGTCCATAATAAAAAACACTTATCTTTTTCCCATATATAATTAATTTTACATGCATTTTAACCCAGTAGCTATATTTTCTCTGACCACATATGACTAATGGTGTCTGTATTGTACAACAATATGGTATTATCATTAAACTGTTTTCTTGGACTTTTTCAATATTCTTGTGGAAAGACTTGCCCGATTTGTTTTATTACAGAAATAGCATATAATGTTTTACCTAAGATTTGTTATGTCTAATGTTGTTGAATTCTGGTGGGTGGATGTTTGTAGTTGCTGACGAAGTATACACTGGAAAATATAAACGAGAAAAAGTATTTCTCATTATTTAATTTTCTATACTTAAGCAATAAGTTATTTTTATGCACTAAAAAGTGAGTGTGGTGTGTTCAGGACAAAATCTTGGCTCAGAGTGAGTTAGTTTTGATTTAAATATCATTTGATTGATTAATTAATAATGCTGAAAAATTATTAGCCAATTAAGTTTGTTCACAAAACCATCTACATCAACAGTGTTATGTAAAAATGAAATAAAACAGCTGTTAAATTTCAAATGATGCAGTTTAGAGAGGTTTATTACTATTTTTAGAAGACAGATGGAAAATACCCAAATTAAAATGAAGAATCAAGGGGCTGTTGCAAGTTTAAGTTAAAATTTTGAATTAGATATTTTCATGTTACATATATATTTGAAATAAAAATATTTTTTAATAATCAGGAGATTATACAACTAGCTTCACCTTAAAATTAAATCTTGTAAAGTTTAAACTTGTTAAAATATTAATCACTTGTAGAAGAATCGAATTTAGAAAAAAAGACATATACATCATTAGAACAATGTGCATTTATCAAAAAAGTTCTTTCAAATATTAAGTTTATGCATTGTTTATTTCTGTATTTGAATTTCTATCCTTATTTAGTAGACTTGGTTCGGGGACTGAAGATCATGAGAAATCAACTTTGCTGTCACTAGGATTCGAACTATAGATTTTGCATTTGATAGCTGGACATATTATCAGTTACACTACAAAATCACACACAAGAGAATGCAGTTATTCCTTATAAATTTGTAAATAATAATGTGTTTTCATATGGCATAATTATTATTTTTCAGTAAGCAATGAAAATATATTTCTAACAATAGCACCTTCTGTAAGCTTTATTATGTAATTAATAGGAAAGCACATTTTATATCAAAAATAATACACTCCATAACAAAAGAACAAATGCACCAAGAAAGAATTAGCTGATTGCTTTGAAATTTTGTATGCATAAATGTTTTGACCAAATATGCAAATTATTAAAATGTGGTTCCCAATGAATGAATCATGCGATCTCCAGCGCATCCAGCAGATGTATATAAGGTATGTATGTAATAATATATAAGGTATGTATGTAATAATAGATGTATATAAGATGTATATGTATATAAGGGAAAACAATCCATTCTCATAACAAATCCTTTTGTTATAACACTATTCAATACTAATATACAAATGCAGTTGATGAAATATATATATAAATGAAGCACTGCATGTGATACTGCACATAAATATTTTTCCCCCACTCAGATCAAAAGCAATTTCCACGATCTTTGGTTGGTAACGCTATTTCACCTCCCTTCTCAACATTTGCTTATTTAATAGTGTCTTTGTTTTTCACAACCATAGACACCATCCTACTCGACATCATATAGTATGCAATCATTTTAAGTTCCAGATGCATATGCCATCTTCATACTTTTCACCAATCTTATTTTTACCTCCATGATGGTCCTAACAATTTTCTTCATTGCTTGACTTTTCTCATTAATTTTCCTAAAACTCAAGGTTTATATGTTGGAGGGAATTAAAGTCCAGGATCCTTTCATCCTGTTTTGAGAATAATTCGGTCCAAATGGTGCATCGTGTTTGCGCTCATGGTCGCGGATGAGGTGGTCAAACTGTATGTACCAAGTTGGATGTATTTCAAAGCAGACGTATATACTGGTAGGGAAAATGACCAACTCCGACTCCTAGAAGTTTAGACTCTGACTCCCCCATATATATATATGTAATTAATAATGTATAACACATTTTAAAAAAAGTCCCATTTCTTTCTGTAACATTTTATATCTAAGATTTTATTTCTTAAATGTTCCATCTATTTTAGATCCTATTCAAATTCTTTGCATAACATTCCTGAAAAGCAGTATTATTTTAAATTGTAAGTAATATACCTTGTGCCTATTATTTCTACACTTCAAGTAAATTACCCTTTTTCTTGTTGAATGGGATAAAATAACAAAATTTTTTTAACTTCCATAAAAATATTCATATATCTATTTTAAAAAATCATTTTCACTTATTTTATCTAATTAGAAATATATGGTTTTCATTTATAATTTCTGATATTTCACAGAAAGACAGTCTGTAAAATCTACCATATTGATACTTTTAAATTCCGAGATATTTTTGAAACGTTTTTAAACACCCAAATTTATTATTAAAGTAGACAAAACAGCTTCTTTGCTAAGCATTTAAACATAATAGCAACTTTTTTCTACAGCAATGGATATTGAGAGTTATTTACTGATAGACTAATGACTGCTTTCTTCTTCAAATACCTAATCTCTATTATTAAATAATGAAAAATCTGTATGTGTATATGTACCCTGCATTTTTGGAAAATAACAGTATTTAAAGCAATTAAATTTTGAACACACATTCCTCCACCCACGCTTACGCATCTTGAAACCCAAATTTTGATTTTGTTTTAATTTATTTCATATTTTGTGAAAATTTAATAATTATTTAATTAACAAACTCAGAAATTAAAAGTAATGTATTGTAACTCAACAAAGAGTAAGGTATTTAAGTTTCAAATTTAAAGCTAAAACTCATTTAAAAGAAATGGTGGCCACACAGCAAAGTCCAATATGTGTCTTTCTAATTTATTCAAAAAACACAAGAATTCAACAGAAATCTATTGCCACTGCCCAAAATAATATTTTTTATCATCCATGAGCGAGTGTGTTGCCATTTGGTGAAGTGTAAGATATTTTCTTTCAAATTTTACCTGTTTATTATTGATTCATAAACCGAGTGATTTAAAAGTAATAAACACAGTTATTCGTCTCTATGATTATTAATAACTAGCTGAACCTGTGAAATTATACTAATTGGACCCAAAATCTTGTTGTTTGACTTCTCCAATAATCATTATTCAGTGTGTTATTTTATCCTAAAAAAAAATTCAATCACAATTTCACAGAGCCAGAAATTGATAAATGATCAAGCATGGCATACAAACAGTTTAACAAAGGTACCATATCTGGCAATCCTTGCTCATAAGCATCAAAAAATAATTTTCTGCCCAATTAATAGAAAAGTACCCTTTTTTTATTAAAGTTTTTTTAAATTAACATTATGAGATAATATGATAATTTTATCATTAACAGATCATAAAGGCATTCTAAAGTCATGCATAATCAGAGGGATACTTATGGGATTTCTAGTTGGAACAAGGAATAAAAGTACATCTTTAAGTCTGAAAACTGGATCTAATATATCTAAAAACATCATTTTGGAATATTCTGAAGGCAAATCGGCTCTCGGAATTCACACGAAAATATATCAACAGAATCGCTTAAAAATTCCCAGCAGCCTTTAATAACATGTCGTAAAATATATTTTAAAGTTCTGACAGTACTTTCTTAAACCCTCATTATTGAAATGCCACCAAGATTATCAATAAATGTTAGCCATCATGAGAAGAGCTCTGGTAGGTCACATTTTATCATTCTGGTACTATCTTTTCCCCAAAAAATATTACAATCTTTGATTTACCAAGGAGTGAGAAAGATGCTATATGATTCTTCTAAGAACAAGGCATTTTATCTTGCATCTGAATATGTGAAAAGGGACATACAATGGAAATATACCTAGACAAAAGCATTGGAAATATACTTCAACAAAAGCATTTGGAAATGCAACTTGAAAAATTTATGTAAAAGAAAAGCAGATGTTCTGACAACCTGTTCAGTAGTTCCAGAAGTATTTTCATGAGTACTGCAAGTTATTTTTTCAATTATGAACATATTATACATAGAGAATAATGTCCAATATAACTTTTTTTAAAATGAACCCAACTTCCTGAAATATCAAGAATTACAAAAACTTTTGAGTTGTAGAGATAATAATACAGAGACATGGACACAAATTATATCACTCAAAATAGTAATTAGTTTTATAATGCAATTTAAAAATCACAGAAAAACTGGTACGGTGACAAAGAAACTGGCAGCTAATGCTTTGGGTTTAAATCCCAGAGAAGGCACAAACGTCATTGCAGCATGTGGGCACTTAGAAGTATTGTAAAAAAGTCCTCTTGAGGGGTTAGTGGTAGAGTAGCAGACTCTCAAAAAATTTTTCTCATGACGTTCCACCATGAGATAAATTTTCTCATGGTGGAACGTCATGAGATAAATTTTTCTTCATAAGATCAGGAAAATATCTTCTATATTCAAAATTGTAATGAAATTTCCTTTTCTCCCCCAAATGCAATTTGGTTTTCCCCTGTGATGTACCTTGGTTAATGTTTTCAGTGATGAGATGGCAAAGAACAAAGAATTTCTGGCTATTTTCAATGAATGCATTGAGTTGGAAGTGTCCAACAGTCTAGAACAACATCAGATATGGAAGAAATTGTTTTAAAAAGTTTACTAAGTTGATCGTAAATGATGTTATTAAGAAATACAGCATAAGAGGTGGGAAAAAAGGTCTGTCAGTTTCAGTTTAAAAATATTCTGGATTGCTGGAAATGCATTAATGAGTTAGCTAAAAGCTTAGAACTAACTTTTTACATTATTCTAAACTATAGAATATTTTAATTTATGGTAAGCACTAATTTATTATAACATACATTACTCAGGAAAACTTCATTAAATTATTACAAGACAACTCCAGTTCCTCATACTACAGATATGGATTGCTTGGTGTAACCTACTAGGGACTATGTAAAGCAGATGCATAATACCTGTAGTTCAGTCTCGGCTTGAGTCCCAGCAAAAAAGTTGGTTGCACAGGCATTCTAAGGGACTTTCCCATACATAAAATGAATATAAACCAGTTTCCCTTAAAAAGTCTTCAATGAATGAGATAGATCAAATAGTAATCGCAAATAGATCTGCCTCAGATGCAGATAATTTTAATATTTACCTCAATTTAGCATACAAATCATATAACTTATTTACGGCCAAATACAATTCAGCTTATTTTTTTAAACTCTCTAAGCAGCATGGGTTTTGGGATCTGTCTTGAAGTCCTGTATTTAAACAGCATTTATTAGCTAAATTTGTATGATTATTTATTTTAGTCTCTAATTTCATAAACTTACATTAAGATGACATTTGCATTATTGAAGAAAATAAGAAAGTGAAAGATCTTAACCCTTAAATGCATGTAGTTGCCATTTGGCAACATACTCATAGTTAGTCATGTAAATCAAGTCAAAACACAAATTTTAGCTTACTGCACAGTGTAACCAAATGGATACATACTGTCTGTGTATATAGTTTTGAAAGTTTCAGTGTGGTGATACCACTAATGGTACAGCAGTCATTATTGCGAGTCGATGTGTAAGGTATGGATATAATTTGTGTTTAAGAATTTTTGATTTTGTGTTTGTTATTTTGATGTATTCAAAAGTTTTAAAATTGTTTGAAAATGTTTGTTCACAAGTTTGTTTGAACAAGTTTATATGGTATGCATTATTACATAAAATTGTTATTACACATTTGCCTATATTTATATATCTTAAGCAACAAAATTACTGGAGGTTGTTTGGAAAGTGATGTTACATTCCCTATACAGCTCTGACCTTGTGCCTTCAGATTATCATTTATAACTCCAACCATATTACTCTATATATTCCTGACCTTGTGCCATTGGATTATCATTTATTCCATTTAAGAAGTTTGGTAAAATTTCAATAATAATAATGAACTCAAATTGCACTTGATTGGGTTTTTTGCTGATAGAAAACAGAAGTTCTGTGAGCATGGAATCATGAAATTATCAGAAAGATAGCTAAACGGTCATCCAACAGAATGGAAAATATGAGAATGATTAAAGTTCACTTTTTGTATACAAAAATTTGAGTTTTATTTCACACTAAAAAAGCAAAATTACTTTCTTGCCAACCCCATAAATATAAAATAATACCTTATGATTGTGCTTTTAAGAAGCAACTCAATTAATTTAAATAATGACAGAATGCTAAGAAATATGTAGACTATATGTATCAATGGAAAAACAGTTACTATGAGGCAGTTGTTTATTTAGGAAGAAATTATATTAATAAAATAATGTCTTAGTATAATTTTTGTTACACAGAAATAAATTATGTGCATTATTTAATTAAAAAATTCATAATGATGCATGAATTTTGTTATTTAATTTGGCATAAAAAATTTGTATTTATTTCATGAAAATAAAAATATTTTTAAAATTTACACATAACTGTGGTTTTACTAAATCATCAAAAATGAAAAAAATAAAATTCGATCACTTGCATTACAATAAATGCATAGTTAAAAAAGAAAGGGTAGATAATCCTATCTTCAGATTTTTCAAATATTCAGATAGGCTTCAGGTATTTGCAATTCAACATGATATTTAATATCAATTATATCAAAACTAATAGTAATGCTCCTAATATATATGTATACCTTTCTTCAATAATCAACAGTCAACAATTTTTAAATTATAAAAGTAGTTTTGATATCTGTGATGTATTTGAATGCTATTGTTCCTGAATGCATTCAGCTTTTGTCAAAAGTTCTGGACTAATACCAAGTATTGATACATCAAAATCTATTTCCCGCTCATGATTCACAACTTGAAGAGCCAATCTTACATGATTATGATCGACTGACCACATATCAGGTAAAAACTTAGGCTGCATAGTGTCCAAAAAATACTGTCTCCACAGTTTTTCAAGCTGAATTATACCACCATTTTTGCAAAAATATTCGTACACTTTCAAACCATGAGGTACAAATGATTCATTTTTTAAGTTCACATCAATATTGCAAGCTTCGGCTAAAACTTCTTCAGTCAAAACCGTAACCTGAAAATGATCTAATATAACTTTTTCTAATTCTTGTTTACGTGGAATGGGTATTTTATCCCCTGCAAGAGATAAGGCAGTAGCAGCAGATTTTATCCTGGCTAAAGGAGGGTTAAATTGGTATTTAGCATTTTTTGCAGTTCCAAGGGGTGCATCACACATTTTTGCCAATTTGTTACGTAAATGTTGATCTAAAATATTGCTTTGCTTATGGCAATCAACACATAATAAAAGAACATCATGAGATAAGTTTTTCTTCATAAGATCAGGAAAATATCTTCTATATTCAGAAGGTACAACATGCTTACAATGAAAGTTTTCAGTTGCACCACACACTACACAACAATTCAGCTTCTCTCTTGTGTAAAACACATTATCTAATTTTGGTCGGCCAGATGGTTCAAAGTTAAGTCGGACAGTAAAAGGATCCTCATTTATAACTTCACCTAAATTTTTATTAACATACCATTCTGCTTTACTTCTATCACAACTGCAAAGTAATTCTCCATCTGGTGCTACAAGCTGGCAGTTATCATACATAGATTTTTTGCGAGGTTTGCTGTATCTTCCTTTGCTTTTGGGCAAAGAACACGATAAATTTCTCTGTTTTTTATTATTATTAGCAGAATTATGTTTAAAGGGTATATTAATAAATGATTGTATTTCATCATCCACATTTAAAATAAGCGGAAACGGCCAACGGTTTTTTCTCCTTTTTAACTCTGAATATATTTTTGCAGCTACTATAGCATCATCAGCTGCATATTTTATTTGGTCAGTAGTTAGCGTAACAGCATCCCAGTTACTACATCTTAAAGAGTAGTTTTTATTTAAATCTAAGTCCAAAACTTCATTACCCAGGCTTTTCAAGCCCAAGTTTTTTCCTTGCAATTCCTTTAAATCCTTAGCCAAATAACGCAAATCAAGAAAATTGTTCACCTCCAAACAATAATCGTGAAACAGTTTTTGGACATCTTCGTATACCCCGACACCAACTTTCAGAATAATGTTACTTTCTAAAAGCTCTGCTAAACCACTTGGTATAAGCGAAACTGGTATACGAGATAAACGGATTAATACACAAAAGCCTTCTTTATTCGCTAACTGCAATAAGGAAATGGGCTTTCTTTTACCGTCAGCAGTCACCCATTCGCAATCGATACCCACTACTTCAGATTTTCTAAAAGTTTCCAAAATCTCCGCTTCAAATGAATTCCACTTTTGGACATTATCAATTAATATTACTTTGTTATTCACCTCATCACGAAAAACAGATTTTGAAAATTTATACAAAAAATAAGCAGCAGCTGTCGCTAAGACAGTTATTTTAATTGGTATATAACTGTAAGATTTCCATGTCATCTTGTTCCAGAGAGGACAAATAACTTACAGATTATATTTTAAATTGCATATACGAATGATAAGAAGTTCGCTAAACAATCGTAACACATGTTGTCAAAAATCAAAACATTGTCTCATTGCCAAATTCACTAAGACAAATAGCAAGGAAGGCCTAGCAAGGTAGATAGCACTAAAGCTCCTCTTCGCGATTCCAGCGCTCTGTTACGCCATCTAGTGGCTAAATGGTAGAAACATTAAAAATTGGTATTTACGTTTGACAATACTACGTAGTTTGTGAAGCGTGTTGCGATTGAAAAATAATTAAATGTTTATTTTTGATTGTTATGGGCATTATGTATAACTTAGAAAGAAGTACAGAGCACACGTTTTTTGTGTACCCCAGTGTAATTCACGAGTTTGCAAGGAACCTGAGTTATGCTTCCATCGCATTCTTGGTTCGAAAAATATCGAACAAGATAGCAAAAATAAAGAAAGGAGTGGATTCGCGTATTTCGAATTGGAAAGAAAGTTGGACATTAAATGAAAGTGCGTTCTAAACATTTAAAAAAATACTGATTACATTTTTTCTCGTTAGAAAAGTTTTCTTTATATATGCAAAATTTCTTTCTCGTATATTATATATATACAGGGTGATTATAATTTAAGTTTAAGTTTCAAAACGCTATAAAAAGAGAACCGCTCATGAAAATGACATCAAATTTGAAAGGAATATTTTTGAAGAAGGCGGAAAGCGTATGGCAGAAGAAAAAATTTAGTTTCAAAAGTTAGCAACAGATGGCGCTGCAAGCGGAAGAAGACGTAAATTTAAATGTTAGTTAAATTTCAGTGTTATAAAACTGCCGTACCAGGCTGTTCCTCATTTCGCGTCCAGAGTTCGCCGTGGGTGTTGCAGGCCCGGCCTCTGGTAAATAGAACGATGATTGTGCAAGAGTAGTTCTGCAAAAATTCAGGACACTAAAGGATATAGAAGAAGGCGTTGGTCCAATGAGTGTCGTGGATCTAAAGAAAATAATGCAAAAATTCAAAACGACAGGTTCGTTTGATGTGTAATCTGGTAGAGGGAGAAAACGAGTGTATTCGACGGTAGTTGAAGAAATGGTCACAGCATTACAGGAGGGGTCGGCCGGTGGTGTGCAACAGTGCAATGCACGAGGAATTGCCGGAACACTAGACAGGCCTACGAGCACACTGCTGAAAATTGTACGAAACATCCTGCAATGCTATCCGTACAAAATTGGCAATGTGCAGGAGTTGCTTCCGTCTGACCTGACAGCTGGGAGACTTTGCGTAGAATCCTGGCTCGCATGAAGTAGATAATGAATGGGCCGTGGAAAATTTTTGTGGACAGATGAAGATGAGCCCATTTCCATCTGACAGGATACATGATACCCATCTTGTCGAATATGGGCAACAAAAATCCACTGGCAACGCACCCCCGTACACTTCACTGAAAAGGTCACAGTATGTGTGGTTTTACGGCATCATTCATCCTACAACTTTTTTTCGAGCAGACGGGTGCTTCCGGTCCTTTACCGCAACCGTCACTGGTCAGGGTATGCGTCTCTTTGCGCAACCACGTGATTCCAGCTCTGCAACAGCGTGGATGTGTGGATGAAATCATTTTATGCAAGATGGCGCTCCTCCGCACATTGCACATTCCGTGAAGCCTGCTGAGGCGCCATTTCGAAATGCTCGAATTATCAGCCGTCATTCCCCTACAGCCTGGCCGTCCCGATCGCCTGATCTTACTCCGTGTGATTTCTGGCTGTGGGATATCTGAAATGTTATGTTCCGTGCTCCAATTGCAAATTCAGCGGATAAAGGCACGCATTTCGCAACACATTCTGAACATCACCCGGAACACTGCGATCCGTTGTGGAACATGCTGTTTTTCCTTTCAACGTGTTGCACACAACGGTGGACACCATACTGAACTGTTTTGCGCCGTCTCGCGACAGTTTCCGAACTTCTTTGATGAATGGTTCTTTATGCGGTATGTCGCCGCAAAACTCTTGAAACCGATTTGTCCCTTTCGATGTGATATGTACAGTCAGGCAATAAAAGTATTCAACAATTTAATTTATCAATGTGTTTAATGTGTAACTCCACCTTAGCCGTTGTTTTACGAATAATTTCTCGTTCTCGTCGTGATTCGGCGCTTTCAGCGCCATCTGTTGCTAACTTTTGAAACTAAATTTTTCTTCTGCCATACGCTTTCCGCCTTTCAATAATACTCCTTTCAAATTTCACATCATTTTCATCAGTGGTTCTTTTTTTATAGCGTTTTTAAACTTAAACTTTAATTATAATCACCCTGTATATAAATGTGTATGTGCGTTCTTCGAAAGTAAACATGCTTATTTGTGTATTGAAGTATAAATCATAATAGCTCATTGATCTCTTAAATATTATTAATACACATACATATACAGTTAGGTTTTCATGCATATTTTACCTGCAGAAATTAAAATTCTGTTTCAGTTCATGTTAGCAATGATTTAAATGAAAATTTATAGCATGACACATGGTTTTATCACATGGTTTCGAGTATGCTCCTGCCAGATTGGTGATCTTGTTATGAACAAATCTTAACAGATAAAGATATAACATGTGAATATAGAATCTAAAGGAAAGGTAAGATTAGATTAGGGTATTTGAATATGGCTAAGCACATTGGTTATCAGCCTGAAGAATGCCTTTATGAAGAACTTTATAGGTTAAATTGGTTGGAATTCGCAAACCACAAGCAAAAAAAAAAAAAAAAGAAAGAAAGAAAGAAACTGCACAGCCAGTTTGTTCACCAGGATTTGAGCTGAGGCTGAACTACCAGTATTCAGTCGTTTTAACCATTGGTAGAACAAATGTAAAGAAAATGTTTGTAATATGATGTAATCAAAAGTTATATGCCGGGATTGCTTTTTCAAGTACTGAGGTGAGTAATACCTAATCTGCTCTTTTTTTTTAATGTTTGGTCATGGTATTATTCATTGCATGTATTTTCTATAATACATATATAATGCTAATATTTCTATTACAAGTGTCTTTTTCATTTTAAAGTGCTTTGCTTGTTGATATTCTCAAAATTGTATCTAATAATTAGTGCTGTTATGTATATAATAAATATAAATACAATAGACGCATATAATAGATCAATGTATTTTTAGTATATCATTTTTATGATTCAATATTATTTTTATGTAAAAAAAGACACTTTTGACTGCATAAATTTTCTGAAAATACTGTTACGAATTTGGTATTTAAAAAGCTAATGTTAGTTCAATTATAAATTAAATGGTTTTATTTCTCGCGCAGTGCAGCGCGTGACGAATATTAAAGAAAGCTAAGCCGGAAAAATTAAAAATACAAGAGCGCGTGCGTTAAATAATAAATATCTCTTTTTGATTTCGAGAAAGTGCTGGAAAATTCTAGCGCGTGATTTTAAAATCTTATAAAAGGAGGAAAACATCTCAGTTTGTTAGTTAGTAGTTGCTTAGTTTGTTGTTGTTTAGAAAAACTGTTGTTGATTGTAGCGAATTCGCGGATTAGCGTTCTTTAGCTGTTTTGAATTACGTTCTATTGACATTTGAGTAGTTAAAAGAAAAACTACTGTGAGATATTGTAATACTGCATGATAATTTGAGAGAAAATTTAAGCATTTTTGTTGTGATAATAATAAATTTTTGTTCATTTTTCATCGGACTTGTGCATTCATTTCATAACGAACCCGTACGCACGCAACAATTTTCGGTGTCAGAAGTGGGATTTGAATGCCAATAACAAGAGCGATGGAAGAACAATTGAGACAGCTCATTAGTGCTTTTTGCTGCATTCCAAGAAAAGATGGATGGAAGCTGGCCAAGCATCATTTAAGGAAGAAATGAAATTGGCCAGGAATCCGTTAAGGAATAAATGAAATTGGGCCAGGAATCCGTTAAGGACGAAATGAAAGCCGTTCAAGCTGGTCAAGAAGAAATGAAAAGAGAAATTACTTGCATAATAGAAAATAAATTTGAAGCTATGGAAGGCAGAATTGACGCAGTTGAAAATAAAGTTGGACATATTGAAGAAAGAGTTTTCTCGGTGAAAGAAAAGAAATAGAAGAAAGAGTTTCTTCTGTAAAAGAACAAATTGATGAGAGAGTTTCTGCAGTTGCCAAAGAATGGATACTTTAAAGAAATTCGTAGCGTCGGCAGGGAGCAGGAGTGATGATTTTAAATTCTTACCAATGCCTGCTCGTCCACCTCTGAAGCTATCCACATATGATGATGGGAAGACCTCCTGGCAGGTGTATAAGACACAATTTTCTATCGTGGCGGATGCGAATGGATGGGATTCCCAAGCTAAGGCCTGTCATCTCGCCGCTTCTCTAAGAGCCGACGCAGCGGATATCCTTCAGACTCTTCCCGAAAACAAAGGTTAGATTTCGAAGCTCTGTCCGGCGCCTTGGAGTTGCGCTTTGGGGAGAAGTGTTTAAAAGACTACAGCAGGCTGCAATTAAAATCTCGTCAACAGAAGCCTACCGAAACACTTCAGGAGCTCGCCGCGGATGTTGAAAGGCTGTCCCATCTCGCCTTTTCGGAATGCCCGACAGAAACAAGGAAAATCCTGTCCTTGCAATACTTTATCGACGGCATCCGAGATACTGAAATACAGAAAGCTCTACGAATGGCGGATGTAAAAGATTTAAAAAGTGCTCTAGTGTACGCCATGAAATTCGAGGCAGCCCAGCAAGCAACTAGTAGAGATCGCTACCCAGTTAGAGCTGTGCGAGTCCATGAGCCAGTGGATCAACTGATGGCTCGTTTAGATGATTTAGCCAGACAAGTCGAAGATTTGATACGGAGTAGGAGCGAGAAGAAAGTAGCTCTAAGGTGTTGGAGATGTGGTAGTGAAGGTCACCTAAGGCGGAATTGCAGAACACCCCAGGGTACGGAATATAAAGCAGATGATTTTACCAGACAAGTCAGTGGCTTGAGACGGAACAGAAGTGAAAAGAAACTAATTCTAAAGTTGCTGGAACTGCGGAGTTGAAGGCCACATACGCAGAAACTGCAGAGAACACCCCCGAGGTACGGAAAATAAGAACCATTTCCCAGCAACAACGCAGCAAACAAATTAGTGACCATATC